CAAAAACCTATGGCCTTTATGTTATTGGGTGATTCTGCCACAAAAATTAACTCAGTCATTTTAAATGTTGAATGAAGTTTAATAAACATAGACACCAATGCAGTCACCAGTGGTGTAATCAGGATACTCTTCAGTTTCCTAAAAGATATTTTAAAAAAACTTAAAATTTTTTGACAATTAATATTTTGGTGAAACTGGCAGCCCTCAATAGTAAATATCAGTTTGGATTCCTGTCTGGTAGGCAAGGGGAAACTTCAGGATACCTGAAAACTTTAAATAGAGCAATCTTTTAGAAAATCAGTCTCTATGAAGGAATTTTTTAAGGAATTAAAAAGTTTAAGAAGTTGAGGGAATGGAAATTATATGAGAATATGCCTTAGTACTTATGAGTCAGTTTAAGTTAAAAGCAGAATCAGACCCGTAAGTACGGAGAACAAACTGACGGTTGCCAGAGGGAAGGGTGAGGGAGGGATGGACAAGATGGGGAAAGGGAGTGGAAAGTACAGGCTTCCAGTTATGGAATGAATAAGTCACAGGAATAAAGAGCACCACAGAGGAAATATGGTGATACTGTAATAATAGTCTTGTATCATGACAGTGGGGAGCTACACTTGTGGTGAACTGAGCATAACATACAGAGAAGTTGAATCACTGTGTTGTATGCCTAAAACTAATGGAACATTGTGTGTCAGCTACACTCAAATGAAAAAAAAATTTTTTTAGAAGTCAGTTTGTCTTTTCATATCCGTCATATGATGGGATACGTTTTCATATTCTATCATAAAATTTCTTTAGATTTGCTAAAATCTAGACGCAGCCTTATAAGATTTTAATCTCATGTTCTCTCATTTTCAAGGATTCAATAATTAAGAGCACGTATGTAGATTGTAGTTTTGTAGTTACATACATTTTTTTGTTGGTAATATTTTGGCATCTTTACTCAGGTACCCGGAAGCTCTTACTGACCCTGCCTACAAGGGACAGATTCTCACCATGGCCAATCCCATTATTGGGAATGGTGGAGCCCCTGACACCGCTGCGCTGGATGAGCTGGGACTTAGCAAATATTTGGAGTCTGATGGAATTAAGGTAGTGCCAGTGATGACTATTTAAAAAGTCTCAATTTGGGGCACCTGGCTGGCTCCATTGCTGGAGCATGAGACCCTTGATCTCAGGGTTGTGAGTTTGAGCCCCACATTGGGCATGAAGCCTACTTAAAAAAATGAATGAAAAGTCTCAGTTGGAGGGGGGAATAGTTGATTTATTTTTAAGAATCTAGGATGGGCAAAGTTTCTCCTCAATACTGTAGTACAACCCATTAAATTTGTGCTCTCAACCTTATTCCTACGTATTATGAGAAGAATTTTTAACATGACATTATTTTGAATTTCATTTTTCATGGCACTTTGCATTTGTTTTTAATGCCTTGGATGAAACTTGGCTTAATTTGGAAAGATGTTGTTATAAGTCTAAATGACAAGTATGCTACAAGAAATGGTGATGAATTACCTTTTAAAAGGTCTTTAGTAATCAACTCTGTATCAACTATTTGCCTTTTAACCTTACCTTATTTAGAGGATGAATAAAAGATAGCTTCTATGCCAGTCTAAAAGTAAACACATTAAAATTTCCTAATCAAGATAAATTTGGATAGTATTAGGAATGTGGACCATATAAACAATTAAAAAATGTATACTCCAAATTCATCACTCTATTTTTTTTCACTCTATTTTTGAATGTCTTGGACTGAACATGTAGCTTAATTCTATTTCTCACAATTTTCGCAATATATCTCAGTCTCCTTTAAATGTAGATTAAAAATTATTTATTCTTCACATACATTAAGCAATTAATTATTAATTAGATTATTGGTAAATGCCATGGAGGAAAAGTACCAGAGTGCTGAGATGGGGGACCTAGCTTAGTCACAGGATTTGGCAAATGGGGTAAGACTATTCCTTGACATAGTAATTAAGGTAACAATGATATATTTTAAGAGAAAAATGTTGATCATCTTCTTTCTTCAAGTCTCCAGAATTTTGAGCCTTGAATCAGTGGATATAATAAAGCTTTTTTTTTTTCAAAATTGCAAATGGACTCGTAAGACAAGTCACAAGAGTTGGATAATATTTTGTGGTCACCCCAACTCCCTGTCTTTCTAGGTTGCAGGTTTGCTGGTACTGAATTATAGCAATGACTATCACCACTGGCTGGCTACCAAGAGTCTCGGGCAGTGGCTACAGGAAGAAAAGGTGAGAAATATGCAGGCTGACCTGTCTGGACCAATTCTCTTCTAAACACCGAGGGCCACATATTTTTAGTTTAATCTATTAGGTGGCACTCACACAGGCTTGGTAGCATTTCTCTTTGGGGAAAAGACCTAGAGACATCTTAGAATTTTTTATTTTCTTGAACCACTTAATTTTCCCATCCCCTTATATCCACGATTGTGATATGTAACTTGAGTCATGGGTTCACGGACCAGCTTTACCATTAACTAGCTGTGTGATTTTGTGCAGATCATGTAATCATACCATATTTTCTAAATCCTTAACTCTTATGAGGATAAACAGATTGCAATTAAGTTTCTTTTGGCTTAAACATTAGGACTCTATGACACATAATTAGATATAATCTTATTTGAAGTAGTAATTGAAGAGGGTTATAAACCTTATCTTATACTTTCCTTAGTTTAAGTATTATTTTTCTAATCAAATAAGAGGATTTTCCTGGTTTGAATGTCAGAGGTACTTTAAGTTAAGGGACCTGCTGTATTTGGCTTCATCTCCAGTGTTGCTGGTGTTTTCTGTTGCCACAGAGCCTCTAACTGATAGAATATTATTCTAAGAAAGCTCTGCCACACCAGTGAGCATCTACCTAGTGGGGCTAAATGTTTTTCCTTTCTGACTAATCAAGAAATCTTGATTTTGGGTTCCTAGGTTTCATACTTTCTAAATTTTAAAGGGAAGAAGGCCTCTATATCATCTCCTGAATCATTACTATTTCATTCTCAACCATTATCCGAATTTACCTCCATTACCTAGACAGCTAATTTTTGTAATGGTCATTTAGGAGACCCTCACTTTAATGTTCCCTTTGTGTCACTAGGCAACGGGTATTACGGCTGCTCTGGGTCAGAACCAATGATCTGAGTATAAACTTAATCCATGACTTGTTAGTTTGTTTTTAAAATGCACTTTGAATTTTCTTTCATGATCACAGACACATAGAGCAGAAAAGGGTCTAAGATAGGGGCCTCTGGGGTGGCTCAATTGGTTAAACATCTGCCTTTAGCTGAGGTCATGACCCCAGGGTCCTAGGATTGAGTCCCAGGTCAGGCTCCATTCTCAGCAGGGAGTCTGCTTCTCCCTCTGTCCCTCCCCCCACTCATTCTCTCAATCTCTCTCTCTCTCTCAGTCTCTCTCAAATAAATACGTAAAATATTTTAAAAAAAAAGAGGGTCTAAGATAGTAACGAGTTCACCTACTTCTGTGTACGGGTGAGGTAAGACTCCTTGCTCAAGCATCACTCAGATAAATGGTAGAAAAAAGAAATTAGAACCTGTTTTGCTGCTTCCTAACTCATTGTCCTTTTATTTTACCACATCTGTCTCTATCCAAACTACTCAAAGAAAGGAAAACAAACGGTGGTATTGCCTGATTTCCTAATCAGATGGGCAAATCTTATCACAGCCTGATTACTTAACAAGCATCCTCAGAAAAATGTGTTGAGTGTCTAATAGGTAGCCAGAACATTTGGCTCAAAGTGTGGATTTGCATATTATTTACATATCATTGCTTATGAAATTCACAAATTCCGTTATTTAGATATATAAAAATACATGTAATATATATAAATATGTAACATTACCTATTTAACATCTTGTGTAAAAAGAAACAAAACTGTAGCAGAAGATTGATGTTCAGAATCTCTCATCTTTTATTCTGAGGCAGGGCCTGGGTATTAAGAGTCCTGTTCCCAACTGGAACAGCAATTTACCGTGTTCTGACAACACAGTCACCCTGGGTCAGAGAAAAGAAGGAGTAGGGAAATTATTTACTGCTCAAGAAGATAGATGATGCTAAGTTTATAACTTGAAAACAATATGCTGTATCTAATTTCCTCCAATTTCACTGTCACAACAAATTTTTTTTCTTATAGGTCCCTGCAATTTATGGAGTGGATACAAGAATGCTGACCAAAATAATTCGGGATAAGGTCTGATCATCATCTTTAGCCACCTCTGTTTCTCTCTCCCTCCCTCCCTCATTCCCTCCCTCCCTCCCTCTCTGTCTCTCTCTACGAATATGTATATACTATATTCTCTATAAGTTAAAAAATATAATAAATATTCTATGTTTTCTCAGTGCTTGAGGAATCCCACAATATGTGAAAGAACAAATCTGACCAATTTCTGTCATTTGGACCTCTGTCATCTTGTTTTACTATTTCTGATGTAATTTTCAAGACTGAGTACTCGATTGGGATGTTTGTTGCTGAATGGACTTGAGATTAATTCACTTGGCAGCAGATTATTGAGTGCCCACTGTGTGTTCCCTATTCCAGCGAGTTGAGGCCTTTCTAAGTCAGCTCACGTGACAGGGTTAGTGAGACCAGTGGAGAAGGTAACCAGGTGCATAACAATTTTGCCTCAGTTGAATACTCATCTGCTGAAAGAGGCAGACCAGGAAGTGTGCAACATTGGTGCTGTTATTTGTTTAGTCTTCTTGAAGGGGTTATCTGTGGAATTAATGAGCTGTATTTCATGGGTGTGTCTAATGAGCCCTGCATACGTTACCTCAGTTACAGAGTCTTTCTTGAGACTGTACCAATGACCAAGGTGATAAAAGATAAGTTTATCTTTTGCTTGCATATCTGATTGCTGAACCGTCTGACCTCTCCTTTTAAGATTGTCTCAGCACCATCTGCTTGCTTCTTCCGGTTGTAAGTGGAGGGCACTATTATTTTTTTTCCTATACAAAACCTTCTTATCCTAGACCAGAAAGAAACTTTACCTCACTAATGTTAACTAAATTCCCCAAGTGCCACTAAAGTTTTTCATTGAATTATATCACATAAAAAAAGGATGGGGTACCTGGGTGGCTCATTGGGTTGGTTAAGCGTGTTCCTTCGGCTCCTGTCATGATCCCGGGGAATTCCTGCTCAGCAGGAAGTCTGCTTCTCCCTCTCCCTCTCCCCTCCCCCCACTCATGCTCTCTCCTTGTTTCTCAAATAAATAAAATCTTTTTTTTTTTTAAAAAGGAAAAAAAGAAATGATACAATTCCAAAGTGAAATAGACTCTTCAAGAAAATCTGTTGTAGACTCCTTGTTAGAATGTATATTGACATAGGATCTCTGTAAACAGAACAGCTTTTTGAAAATGAGGCATGGCCACACACCCATGACCAGAAGGAAGACAGTGAGAGTTTACACAGTCCTTCCACTCTACTTCTGATTTTATTTCCTCCTCCATAATTTTCCTGAGAATAGATGTTAATGAGAATGACGTGCTGGTACTTTCTACCCTCACTCATTCCCACGTGACTACTTTCCTTGAGGAATACATTTCAGAAGGAAACAAAGGCTTCTTTCTCTTTCCTTCAATGCAGTGATTTCCTTGGAGAAAGGCAAATCAATGACTTTATCTTGACTCCCCACCCACAAAGTCTTGATTACTAAATGTAATATGCTATTTTTGTAAATAGTTAAAGCTAGACTTACTAACAAATAAGTAAATCTCAAGACATAGCTAATAATAAGAAAACATTTGCCATGTTCAGGCTAGGCTCTGACTTATGTAGCATTTCACATCATTTTGTAAATGAATTTTACTATCATAATGTAATTAATTCTCCTTCTTTTCAGTTTTCTGCAATTTTTAGATTTCTTATTTCCTTCTCAAAACATTGTTTTGTCCATGTCTCCACTGAACTATCTTTAGGTCGTAAGCACTAAGGGAATAGATACCCTAAATGCTCTAATTTGCACCAGCCTGGAACTTGGAAGTCTGAATTCTGATGCCTTTTGAATTTGCTTATTCCAGGTGCCAGTCTCAGCCCTAAAAAAAAAAAAAAAAGGAATTGTCCTTCCCAGGGTGTTTCTCAGAATGTACCGTGCAAATTACTTCATCTTTCCAGGTTAAGATGAGGAACTTCTGCTGATGGTTATAAGTAGTTATAAAGACACTTAGATCTTGGAGCAGCCGTTTAAGTCCCTGTGAATGGATGCTGTCAGCACCTTGACTGTTGCTACCTTTTAACTGTCTAATTTTTTTCTTTGATAGGGTACCATGCTTGGGAAGATTGAATTTGAAGGTCAGTCTGTGGGTTTCATGGATCCAAATAAGCAGAATCTGATCGCTGAGGTTTCAACCAAGGTGAGAGATTTTCCTTCACATTTTGTAGTTTTATTTCTTATAATACCAAAATCTTCACGTAGGCTGAGATCATCATCCTGAAATACCAGAGTTGAGGGGAAAAAAAGATCTCCTAGCTGCTAAAATATATATTACAAATCAGTGTCTTTAAAGTTAGTAACGTCTACTTGCTGCAATCCGTCATCAATCAGAATGACTATGGAGAACAATATTTCATGAAGAATTCCAGCTGTGAGAACTTTGGTGCACCAGGGCCTTTCCTTAAGAAAATGTTATTAAAAGTCAGAAAATTGCCTAATAGCATGTCAGCCTCAGAGAAAACACACGTTGATATTATCTGGTATTCCCATTCCTATGCCTATGCATATGGAAATGAGGAACAGGATGATGGGGCCCTGATGATCAGTACTGACCTTGAATGCTGATGCTGGACACAACATGCGTTCACAGGAGGCTGAAGCATAAGAAATAGGAGTTGTTAAAGACAGTGAATGTTAAATTAGATATGTAATTGCTTATATATTTGGAATTTGATCATGCCATATGCAATATTCCCTTGTTTTTAATTCTAAAATTTGTCCATTCAAATGGCATGGAACTATTTTAAATCCTGTAGTTGTTTCTAGACATTTCCCTGTGAAGTGATTCATTTGAGACACAGCATGAAAAAAGGCTATTTTTCCTTTTAGAATTGAGAACTACCTTGGGGGCTTAGTGCAGCATTTTCCACATGTGAGGAACATTGACCTAGAGAAATTCACCTTAAAAGGAATTCTGTGGTAATAAGGTTAAAAACAGTGCATAATACATTTCCTCTCTTCAAGAGTCATAATGCAAATTCATATATTCACATGTCTGTGAGGTCGTGCTTAAAACTGCTGTCATCCTGTATGGAGAGTATAAAATGTATTTGTGTAGAGACCAGCAAAAAGGAGCCTGTCTGTATTTTTATCTACGTCAAATCAAGAGAGAGATTGCAATAGTGAAAACTGACCCTGTTTCTTAATGCTAGCACAGTTAAATAATTTCATTGTAGCTGTGATAAAATGCATATTTGTATCAGATTATATTTATTCTGTGAGTTTTGTTTGGATATGGTTGATAACTTAATTCATTGTCTTGTAATTGCAATTTGATGTAGCTACAACTAGATGGTAATGTTGCTTTATTTTGTAGGAGAAGCCTAAGGTTAAAAATGAATCTGTACTTTTTCAAATTATCTGATGACATTATCTGTAGCATTTATGGATCAGCTCAGCAGTAATTTCCCCAGATCATGGAAGGAATGGGGCACTTTTTCTCTAGAATAGTTAGCAGGAAAAAAAAATGTGACAAACTTTACATATATATATTTTTCAAGCATAGTCTAAGGATTATGATTTCCCATTCTATAGAGTTTGTGGAGAGTGGAGAGTAGACGTTTCAGTTAAAGTAAAATGCTCTTTCAAATATCCAGGTTGCAACTTTCATCTAAAACCTTTTGGAAACATTGAAATCATCCTAAATTCAGAATATACTAGGTAACTCTCGAAGCTGCAATCAGTGTGGGCACCCAGGCTTCTAGGCTTTCCGTTTCTATCATTTCTCCTTTTATGACTTTGGGAAACTGCTTCTTGGGTAAATGCCTGTGAAAATGGATCTGACTCCAAGCAGTGCTTAAGATGTAGGGAATGATTATGATATGCTTGGGGATCCTTTTATGAAGTCTACCATTTAAATGCAAATGATTGCAAAGTAACCTAAAGAGTCCAGTGGTCTACACTAGCTTAGCAGTCCTCTGACTTTCACACTGATTTTACCCATTAGCCCCACTGCAGAAGCCTAATACACAACAGATCTGCCCCATCCAAACTTTATTGCAAGTTGAGGATAAAGTGGTATTTAAAGCATGATGTATCTATTACCACATCTGTCTAGTGCTGAATCAGGCAATAATACTTGAAAATTCCATTGCCACTGGTTGTTAATGAGGCAAAACATGGGAGAGATTATTGTTAACTATGGAAGCAACCAGTTTCTTAGGGATCATTGTTATTACTGTAATCAACATTTTATCTAAAACAGCAAAGTACTCTTTCCGTCATAAAAAAGATAAAGTTTGTGGCACTCACTGCGCCTTATAAATTGATTGTTAACTGCCAGTCACTCCCTAGTAGTTAGCAATCAATCTGTCACCAAAATAAGTGCAAAGCATCCTCAGACGTGTTTATGATATTGGGATGTTGCTCATGGCTGGTACTTCCCTCTCACTCTCTGCTTGTTAAAATGGCAGGATGTCAAGGTGTATGGCAAAGGAAACCCCACGAAAGTGGTAGCCGTAGACTGCGGGATTAAAAACAATGTAATTCGCCTACTAGTAAAGGTAAGTAATTTGTTCCACCTCAAGGGTGAGATTTTGTAATATTGATCTTTAGTGTTAAACTGATTTCCTTTCTCTGTTTCAGAGAAAACTTGTGCATTCCCTTTGGAAAGTCAGGGGATCCGCTCTCTTCTTCTTGTCTTTGATCTACAAAATAACATTTGTATCCCTGTTAAAATTAGAGATGCAGACTATGTTTTAAAAAAATCTTCAGAGGCCACGAACAGAGAAGAATGATGGCTGTTCTTACCATGTATTGACTGACATTCTGAGATATGCCATGTTTACTTTCTTTGGATTTAGAGATGACCAAAAATTTGGAATCAGTTGGAGAACTCCTCCATTGGACTACACTTATTATATGCCAAATGTTTGTAGGGATCATGCCCTGATATAGTACAAACTTTCACATTCCTTTATATAAACTCTTAGAAACCAATTAAGATTAAACCTTAAAAATCCTTCAGGAGAATATCACCATTATTATAGTGTTTTCTTAAATATTGTTTTGTTGGGATTTCTCCTCCCAGCTTTCCATCTCTCTCCCTATCTGTGTCTCTCTGTTTCTGCTGACACTGCCTCAGAGGTCACAGATTGTTTCTGTTTCTGTCTCTCTCTCTATATATATATATCTCAAACATGAATGTACACATGCATGCATGCACAGACATTTGCATAACACCAAAATAGTGTGAGGATAGAGGAATTCTTCAATTCACCTTCTCTTTGTTAGAGAATATCAGTGATATCCAAATCGTGATTTCAAATTCTGGTCAATTTATTAACAAAAATTTGCATTTGACTCTTCAGTAGCAGATTCTGTCAATGTCCTGTGTATATCTCTTTCTCATTTTACCATTATAAGGCATTTTGCCCATCCTCCAATTGCAAATGCCTGCACTTCATTGCTTGAGGGCTTTCTTTAGATGGTTGGAGCCTGCTGGTAGGAAGGAAATACCACAGAATCAATGATCCCTGGAACAGCCCCAACCCAAAGACTAGAGAAGGTCAGTGTGTAAATATCTCAACTCCTTTGCCCCATGATTGAGTTATCTTGAGGGTGGATAGTCTACACTGGCTCTCAGAGTTCCCCAGTGGGCTGAAACTCTAGTTGTCCATAGTGCTTGGTAATGCATACTTTATTGGGGTGCCTCACAGTGTTGCTTTCTATTGGTACTTCTTAGAAACCCTGCCAAATAGACTTCTTTCCCTCAAATCCTTGTCTCAGGAAATGCTTCTAGGGAAACCATCAAAGATATCTTCCTATCCACTTCTCCATACAAAAGTTCTAATTAGCCTATCAGAGTATAGATTCTACAGATAGTATGAGAAAACCCTAGGAAAGAAGGCTGATGAAAATTTAGTCAGATTAAAAAAAACCAAAACTGAAAAAGGTGAGAGGTGGACCAACTTAAATTTTACAGAAAATGGATTTATCTTTTTTTTTTGGTCACTCTCTCTACCACAGCTAGTGAAAATAATCTATATTCCTGGGTGCCTGGTCATGAATTCTTTAGGCTCTGAAACCTCCTGAAATACAGGAAAGTGTGTTATCTATTTTTTCAGGATCAAAACTTTAATCGTGTTTTTTTCTCCACTTTTTATTGACCATTGGCTTCGTATACATCACACAAAATACAGTGAGCCACCAAGGAATTTTTCACTCCGCATTATTTGTTTGAATCATGTATTATTTTTCCCTCCCCTTTAGGGAGTGGTTAGTCAAGAGAAGGTCTAGACAAAATTACACTTTGGCAAAGAAAAATGTTATTGACTTGATCATTTTTGCCTTTCTTTTCCAGCGAGGAGCTGAAGTGCATTTAGTTCCCTGGAATCATGATTTCACCAAGATGGAGTATGATGGGCTTTTAATTGCTGGAGGACCTGGGAACCCTGCTCTTGCACAACCACTAATCCAGAATGTCAAAAAGGTGCAGTAAACCTGGGGGTAATGTGTATCTGTGTGTGAGGTGGAGGGAGTCTGTGCAGCTGAAAAGGCTGTAATCTATGTCAGGTATTCAGATATTCTTTAGTGCTTCTATCTGTGACCTCTGAGGCAGTGTCAGCAGATATTATATGGGAGGAATACCAGTGAGGAGAAAGTCCCAGAGGAAAAAAGAACCTTTCTTCAGGCAGAATAACTGGGATTGTGTCCTCTAGTTAAGAGAGCTAGAATCCAATCTCAAAATATGTCTTTCTATACAATTGTAAAATGACAATTCATGTTTCTCACCATGACCTCAGGAGCTGTAACACCTTCGAGTTTCTGAAGAAATATTAAGTTTTGTTTAGTTTGAATATTAAGTACATTTTTTTTAATTCTAATGCTACACGTTTGTCAATCATATTCTTATTTATAGTCTAGCTTTTTATTCATATTCTCTTTACTTTGTGAATTAAGAAAAAAAAGGATGTTTCATTTTTATTCCTTCAGAGGGAGCATCTTTTTTTTTTTTGAAACGGTACTTCTGGTTAATAAAAATTATCCCTCTTTTAGGTTTTGGAGAGTGATCGCAAGGAGCCATTGTTTGGAATCAGTACAGGAAATTTAATAACAGGGCTGGCTGCTGGTGCCAAAACCTACAAGATGTCCATGCCCAATAGGTAAGACAGTTACGCTTCTGTTTACAGGTCAAACTGGTTCTGAAATACTGTTAATAACTAAACACAAAAGCCTTAGAGAACTTACATGCCATTTTCTTCAGAAAAAACAGGTAAATGTACTATTTCATGGTTCACAGTTGTCTGACTACCTGATACCACTTTTATTGCACGTTTGAAAGGCAGCCTTCTCTAACAGTAATGTTGCTATAGTTTAAAGTTATTTTCCTTCCCTTGGCATAAATCAAGGGTATTATGCTCCATCAAATGATATTCCAAAGGAAACTGTTCTGGTTTCCAAGCTTGATATCAGAGCACTGATAACATCGTAAGACTCTAGTGTGACTTCAGAACCAGGAAGTCTTCAGATCCTCTCCATTTTACTTCCTTACCCGACATGATACCAGTTTATTCAACGTGGCGCTTTCCCCCATGGCCCACCCTCCTCACAAAGTGTAATTCAAAGTGATTCAGGACAGAGTAGTCATCTCTTTATCATTTCACAAAAACTCCTCTGGCTTTAAAATTACTTATCTCCCTTAACATAAATCGCTTGTATTTGTCTCTCTGTTACGCTCGTGAGCAACTCTTAACTTTTTGTTATGAGCGCAGGTCTCCCTTTTTACTGATTGTAGAAGTTTAATAGAGCCGGTATTTAACCCACAGCAAAGCTTCCTGAATTGATTTTTGTTGCTAAAATTATTGGGATTAACAATTTGTGACTTTTCTCATTGAGTAATTTCCACTAAGCAATTGAAACTTTCACATTTTAATAGGTTTTTCTCATTCACTATTTTACAACGAATGCGTTTATATTCTTCTCTTCACTTTTCCTTTTCCCTATTCTTTTTCTCCTTTTCTCTCCAGAGGGCAGAATCAGCCTGTTTTGAATATCACAAACAGACAGGCTTTCATTACTGCTCAGAATCATGGCTATGCCCTGGACAGCACCCTTCCTGCTGGCTGGAAACCACTTTTTGTGAATGTCAATGATCAAACCAACGAGGTAAGTGCTCTCTGTAAACCTGTTCAGTTGGCAATAAGTAATGCAGGGACTTTCATACTCTTGTTATCCAGACACTTTGTTTATGTGGGTTTTTTGGGGTGTGTGTGTGTGTAAGAACTCTTTTTATAGGTTATTTCCCATAGCCCTCTGCTTTTTTAAAAAGTCGTTTCTGTCTTACTCTCTAATCAGTTGGCTCATTGAGATCCACTCTTTGGTTAATCAGTGACTGTCTTCCCCATTCATTGCTAATGGGTGATTGGTGGAGGTCTGTTTGGGTCTCGTCTGTGTGGGTCTCTGAGACTCACTTGGCTCTGAAGTAGCCTTTAAGAAGACCTTTGGAGAAGTAATTTAGGAGTTGGAGATAAGAAGAGGATTTGAGTTTATTCTGAACAGCCCCTGGGAAGGGGGTGCCCAAAGACTATAGACCAAATCAATTGTTTTTATTGAGGGAACCACATTTGGTTGAGTCCTTGTTGGCCTATTTTTATTATGACTGTTAGCTGTTAGAATGTCCTTAAGCATTTAACTCAGTTTTTTTAAATTTGAACTTTATTGTGCACTGAATAATACATAGCCCTGGTTGACAGTCATGGTTACAGAAGGAATTTCTTCCTATTTCTTGTTCTTTCAGGGGATTATGCATGAGAGCAAACCCTTCTTCGGTGTACAGTTCCACCCAGAGGTCAGCCCGGGCCCCACAGACACTGAGGTATGTCAGGAAATGAGGCCTATTGTAAACTTAATTTTTCTTTTTAATCAGAAATGTATTTATGTGAAAACTTGAGAAACAAACATCCCCACCCCAGATGATCTTGGGTACAGAACATTTTTCAAGAAGAGTGCTTTGATAACACACGTATATTGCATTAAGATTTCGCCCATGAATATCATGGAGGAAATTTCTGTCTTTTTTAAAATTTAAAGTGGGAAAGCCCTGAAGAAACCTGACGCGATGTTATTTTTATTTAAATCGTTATCATTCTAATATATTTAGTTCTGAAATTTACAGTTGTTGTACTATGCAAATGAATTCCCTCTTGCTCTCTTGTTCTCATAACTGAAATGAAATTTTAATCCCCCATCTGTGACTTCACAAAAATCCCTATGGCAACTGGTTGTGTAGCCAGGAAGAGAGAATAAACAGCAGCAGGAGAAGGAAGAAGGGCAGGGGTATGCGGGAGGGGAGAGGGCATGCACGCACATATTACATGAGTCAGATGGCTTAAGAAAAGAACCAGAAGGAATGCTTAGTGGAGTTTTGTTTTTAATTCAAATACTTTTATTTTGTGTGTGTGAGCTTTGGTTCAGTGTTCAAGGTCACCTTTTCAAACGAGAGCTTGTGGTGACACAGAAAATTCTGGAAAGTCTGGTGTGACTTCCTCTCCCCCACCCGACGGCCTCTGGTAGTAATACAGACAGCTCCTCCCCGTCAGCAGATACTCTCAGAAAACACACCTAGGTAAAATGAGGAGAATCAGAATTTTCCCTCTGTAAACTCTACTTTCTCATCCCTCAATTGCCTTTTCAGATATATATGTTTTGTTCATTTTTTTTTTAAGATTTTATTTATTTATTTGACAGAGAGAGACACAGCGAGAGAGGGAACACAAGCAGGGGGGGAGGGGGAGGGAGAAGCAGGCTTCCTGCTGATCAGGGAGCCCGATGTGGGGCTCGAACCCAGGACCCTGGGATCATGACCTGAGCCGAAGGCAGACGCTTAACGACTGAGCCACCCAGGCACCCGTTTTGTTCATTTTTTAAATATTTTTGGGAAATGATTCTAAATAGCCCAAATCAGTATGATATTATCAACCCATGATGAAACGCATAAAGAAAATTTGGTTACATACGTCTGTTGCCTAATGCATGCTGAATACTATTTTTTTTTATTTAAAATTTAAATATTTTGCCCATAGTAGTACTTCAGATTAGGAACACTGAAATTAAGACCTGTGATATTGAGTAGCGCTTAATTCTTTTTCTGTCCTGCCAGATAGTTGCAAAATGAGTATCTTTGTTGAAATTTGTCATGTCTAGTGAAACAATAGAAGTAAATTCATTGGTAAAGTTTAAGAATAAGCTTTGGAGATATTTTTAGAGCTGATAGAGATTTTCAAAATCCAGTTATTTCTAACTTTAGGATGTATAAGTAATAGAGCTTTAATTTCTTTTGTATAACTACAGTTTTATTTAGAAGAAACCATTTAGAAGAAAATAACTCATAATTAAGGGGATGAAAGCTTGACATTCTCAGAAGGCATGATCTGAAATGTTCATTGTCTGCTGAAAACTTGCTTTTGATAGGATTTGAAGTGAACAATTAGAAATGTTTATTTGATCTAATTCTTATAGTAGTAAATATTTAGTTTTGCCAATTTTGGCAGAAAAGCAAAAAACAAATATTGCATATGAATACTTATCCTAAAAAATTATTTGTTGCTTATTTGAAGTTCAAATTTAACTGGGCGTGTGTATTTTATCTAGCAACCTTATGAGTTTTGCGGCTTCTAACTAGTTGGTTCTATTTTTTTCTAGTACCTATTTGATTCTTTTTTCTCACTGATAAAGAAAGGGAAAGGTACCACGATTACATCAGTTCTGCCCAAACCAGCACTAGTTGCAAGTCGAGTTGAGGTCAGTATATGTGGGCTTCTTTCTGGTTTATGTATTTTTGATTTTCTCTATCATGATAATATTTTTAAATGAATGATGTTAACTATTTTAATGTCTATAAAAGATGATTGGTGATATTGTAATTACCCATTATTTTAGTATCTAATTATTTGGTCTGTTCTTGCTGGTGTTCATTGGAATTTTCGTGTTTTTGATTTAAAATTGTATCTTTTCGAGTTTACTTCTTCTAGAAATTTGTAATAAAATAATTTAATAAAGAATAGGCTTTTAGTTTAGAATTTGACACATTCTATTACTTAAACTATAGTCTTATGTATGCTTGAGATACAGTTCAGATTACAGAATCATCATAGATGATAGAACTTTTTTTGTTTCAACTACAAAAATTATTATTCAACATCGTGAATAGAATAATATGATTTTACCTGCGAAGTAGTACTATAGCACAAACTTGAGTCCTTATTTGTGTAAATGTATAGGTTAACATGATAAGGTTTCTACCCATTTTCTTCATAGTTACTCCATATATATACCTACATCATTATTATATAAAATTTAGAAGAATGTATATGTAGTTTCAAGTATATATATATACACACTGACTCTTTTTATAAATAAAGGAAACTGAATTACATGTTTACATGAAATGATAATTTGAGTTGGATGATCTGTTTTAAGGATTTCCAGGGCAGCCTCTTTTCCTGAGATGGAAAGTTTAGAGGTAATCCACCCACTCAATGTGGAATCAAACTGTGGGTTCTTGGTAGCATAAGAAATCATGTGCTTACTGTGTAGTGTTCTTCTCAGAGCATCACATTCTTCAGACGCTTTTCTTTTGTTAATGGTGAGAAAAAAGATATAGTTGGGATTCAGCAGTGCCTTTGCATGTAGTAGGCATCCAATAAATGTTTGTTGAGGCAAACCAGGTTTCCCAAGTCCTTGTCTTTTGCGGTGACCAGGAATATCTTTCTCCTCTGAAGCGTTTGACACTTTTGGCTAAAAAATAAGCAGAATCATGATCTGCTTGGAATTCTATATACAATTTGTAGAATTTCAGTATATTGCCAAGACATGAACTTTTTCTTATTGTATTTTCTGTAAATATTTCTGGCACAAAATGTAAAGGTGAAAATGTGATTATGAAGGTGCACCCATGTCCCCTTGCCTTCTATGTTTTCATTTGTCTGTTATGGAAGACCCAGAGTCTTGCTTTGTTCAGAAGAAAACCATGGAATGTTCAATGTAATACATTTAAATTTTATTTAAATATATGTAAGAATACATATATATATATATACACACACACGCATAGATGCATATATTTACATTTATATTTATGTAGTTATATTTAGATATTTATGTATCCTTAAGTAAAATGTAGACCTCATCTCAAAATATTTACTTAAGTGAAAAAAAACTCCCTGAACTTTGGAAATTGCTTTGAAATTAGAGATGTTTACATTGTTAGTCTTTTTCCTGATGAATAGCAGACCTGTACCCCTGAAACAAATAATACATTATGTTAATTAATTGAATTTAAATTAAAAAAATTGTTAGTCTTTTTCCTAACATATTTTTCGAAACACTGTCCTTTAAATCACCATGTAAACCTAGACAATATAGTTAGACTTCCCCGCTCTTGAAATTGCCTTTTTTCCCCATCTTACTTACCAGAGCAATGTCATTTTCTTATTGCTTACAGGTTTCCAAAGTCCTTATCCTAGGATCGGGAGGTCTGTCCATTGGTCAGGCAGGTGAATTTGATTACTCAGGATCACAAGCTGTAAAAGCCATGAAGGTGAGAGATCTTTGTAAGAATTAATTTACTCCTTTAATGAGTCTAATTAGTATTTTATAATTTAGATTTATGACACTACCTCTTTTCAAAGTCACTGTAATTGATTTTATCAACTATTTCTCACACATCTTATATTAAAGAAACTTTGATCACAGGTGAAATTTTTAACTTTCTCAAACTTTTTTGCACACCTGCAAATCAAGAACATAAGAGTGATCTCCAAAATTATCTGTTACCACCTATTTATACTGAAAACATAAAAAAGCCATGTTTACAGATACTACTCATTTCTTTTGAGGCAGTGAGCATTTAAAATATACTTGTCTTTTGTATGAAAGAGGGAATCTGGGTATCTTTGGTGCTCTAAGATGTTGTAAATGTTCTAGAGGATGCTTCAGGCATTTCTGTGGTTGAAATGGCAAGATCAAGTTGAGGGAGCAAAGCCTTTTATCCAGCTTTAGAAGTTGTTACCTGTCACTAGGGGACCCCATTTTCCATCTATGACTTGGGTTGGATGACTGACCAGAATGATTTGGCAGATTTTCATGTGGAAATGAGGATTTGATACTCATGTTGGGAAGAACACCCTCCCTGTCCCTTCAAAGCCTCTCAAGATCTCCCCAACCCTTTGTCATAGCAAAGCAAACCTTTAGAAACATTTCTCTGTATTTATAAAGTATTTCTATGAAAGAGCTAACTTGGCTTCTCTTTGCTGTCCTTATTTCCTTGGATAGTCCCCATTTTGGTGCTGATCGGCCATCCAGGGGCAATGTGAGCTCTTCTGTGACCCCGCCTCTGGCTTTACAGTGTAAAGACATTCACCAGAGGCCTGGCTAGGAGGAAGCCACACAGAGTAGGTGGCAGGGGACTAAGACAACAAACACAGAAAAACAGTTGGCCAGAATTTTTTTTTCTTTTGTTGTATTCGTAAGCTATACCCAAAGATTTTCACCTGACAGATGTCTGTTGAAAAAAAAATAGAATGCAGTCCCCAATTACGTTACTCTTCTTCCCATTTGTTTTTACTTTTTAATACTCTTCTCCATACACATGGGTACACACACATATGCACATGTGTTTTTTGTGCACATTTTCAAAGAGCACTTTACTTCATTGTGTTATGATTCAATTTCTCTTTATATAATTATAGGATGTCCAGTGGTTTAGATTGGTTAGAACACAATATAAGTGTGTTTAGGGTTTATAAATACATTTAAGTAGCATATGGTTTTCTATCCTATTTGGTAGTTTTATAAAGAATTAATATAGTTTCATAGCTTGCATTTTTTTGTGTGCTTTACATCCATTATGTGAAGTTACATATTTTAACTGAAGAATAGGAATTATTAGCGATAATATTGTGATTAACTAGGAAGTTAGTAGAAATGAATCTATGGACTAAATATTTATTTATTTAATTTTTAAAAAGATTTTATTTGTTTATTTGACAGAGAGAGATAGCAAGAGAGAGAGAGAAAGAGAGCACAGGCAGGGGCAGTGGCAGGCACAGGGAGAGGGAGAAGCAGACTCCCCACTGAGCAGGGAGCGGGATGCAGGGCTTGATCCCAGGACCCTGGGATCATGACCTGAGCCAAAGGCAGACACTTAACCAACTGAGCCACATAGGCACCCCTATGGACTAAATATTTAAAAATAATCAGATGGTGCATGTATTGTAGCCAGAACTATATTAAAAAATATATATATATAAAATGTATAGTTTGAAATAATTTTAAGTTTTAAAATATATGGACATTCATCACAGTCATTTATGGGACCTTTACCTATATAATTTGATTTACAAAAATAGCTGTATTCATTGTATAACACATTCAGGAAAATACTTACAAATATACTTAAGTCTTTTGGTGCTATTCTTTAGTAGTGAGACCTTCTGTAACTTCTATTGATGGCGTGTTCTCAGTTTGGACTTAATTATTTAAATTCCAAGCTATATTTTAAATGCATTTGTTTATCTGTATGTGTTTGTTCAAAAATTTCTTAGTAATACTTTTTAAAAACCAATTTCTTAAAATCTTGAGAGATGACTCATACTGAGGAAGGGGCATAGAACTTGAATCATAAGACTTGGATTAGAGTCTTAATTTTGCCATTTGATCAGCTAGAAGATCTTTGGCAAGTCATTTAACCTTATTGAATGTCAATTTTTTCATCTGTGAGGTAGGAATATCTCTTGTAGTCTTGGTATAAAAATCAAATAAATTGATAAAAGAGTACATTATAAGTTTTAAGGGACTATTTGAATTTAAAGTAATATGAAATATTTAATATTTTATTCAGATCCTCCCCCAAGGACATATAGGGCTTTCAAGGATGATTTCTATACTCTCATCTGAATTTTTGTTGATGTTTTAGAAGAGTTCAAAATTGACGTGGTAATAGGTAAAATAATAAGAGCCATATGGCCATATTTTATAATAATTATTTTGCTGTATCGCCCTCATCCTAGTTTATAAAGCTGTTATCCTTCATAGCCTACATGAAGAATTATTTTTGAGGTCTCTCCAGATGTCAGAAATAAGATAGAGCTATGAATACCTTTATACATACACAGACACACAGACATTTTTATTTTATTTTTTTGCCATATGGTCATTTTCTTTTACTATAGTACGTATCAAGAGTTGTATGATGCTCTTTGTTAAAGCAATATTACAGGCATGAAAATCTAAAAAGATGGAATCCAGCAGAAGGCTCTCAGTGCTTCCAGTAAGGGAATACATCATCTTGCATTTTAAATGCGCATTCCATGTTGGTCTCTGACAAGCATTGGAAAGGGAAGCTTCTTTGATGTTGTCTCTGGTTCCATTTTATATTTGACTAATTTTTAAAATATTTTAGTCTTTTACAGTCAGTGGAGCTATAAAGTTCAGTAGTATTCATAGACCTCTAGTCAAATTCTATAGAAATTAACTCCAGTTTTGCTTGATACCTCTAGCAAGGAATTCAGGGTGAACCTCATGAGGTAACCAGTTCTTTTTGAATAGATTTATTTTCAAGCAATTTTTTCCTTCCTCTCACTAAATGTTTGTCTTCCTTTACCCTCCATCCCATTCACTAGTCCTATTACTGATCTCTACAGCCCACAAAATAACCTAAAATTTTTATCACCCAATACAGACCCTTCATTTGAATATGGTCATTCCCTCCTTTAGACCGTATGTTCAGATTCTCAATCCTTTTGTTTCTTTCAGGAAGAAAACGTCAAAACTGTCCTGATGAACCCAAATATTGCATCAGTGCAAACCAACGAGGTGGGCTTAAAGCAAGCAGATACTGTCTACTTTCTCCCCATCACCCCTCAGTTTGTCACTGAGGTCATCAAGGCGGAACGGCCAGATGGGTTAATTCTAGGCATGGGTGGCCAGACAGCTCTGAACTGTGGTGAGTTCTTTTTAGTTTAATTGCAGAGTTTTGGCCCATGCATTTATGTGTAATATTTTTTGTTTGACTCTATCTAACAATTATGCTCTGTGTGTTCATAAAAGCTTTTCTTTAATATGTGAGGAAGCAGGTAGCAAACAGCAACCTGAAAATGTCATATGATAAATATTACTGGTTTATTTCACAGAACAGCTGAGGCACAAAAAGAAACCTTTTACTTTACTGCTCTGGGGTGGCCAAGTGAGATCTCCCTGCTCCATTTCAGCATATTGCTTTTCTCTGTTACCAGTGAGACCCTGAGAACTATTATGAATAAAAAATGAGATTTAACATTGATTAAATGCTTTGTGCTCTTACATGTTGGCCCGGTAGCATTTGGCTTTCACGATAACATAGATCAATCTCTCTACCATCCCTTCATGCATCTGCTGAGCCCAATACTATGTCCTTTTTACAAGGCTTCAAATCTTTGGAACTAGATCATGAATGAGAATCTCATTCTCATTGGCAAAGTAATTTATATGTCAAATATAAAAGTCTTAGCCAAGGTCAGGTGGCATGTTAAATGAAAACATTATTTTGATGATTTTTAACCCAGATAGATACCCACATCACTGGGATTATTTAAATAAGAGAATCTCATTATAGGATTGGACCTTAGAAGGAAAGGGAATATACTAAAATCTAGAGGTTCACTGTATCCTATGATTTTTATTAATGAGGATAATAAAGACCATTTGGAGAAAGTGGTAATATAAGCAATGTCACCAGCAACGTATTTTGCTAGAATGTCTTCAGAATTTCTCTTTCAAATTTTTCTTTTTTCTTTTATTATCTTAAGTACAATTCTATTGTAGACTGTGATGGCTTCTTGGAGTTAATTTTAAGGTTCAAAAAAGTTGTATTTCAGGTATGTGTTAAAAAAGACATAAAAGTTTGAGATTTTAAAAACTGATTATATTTGGTTCTTCTGTAGGAGTGGAACTATTCAAGAGAGGTGTACTCAAGGAGTATGGTGTGAAAGTCCTAGGGACCTCAGTTGAATCCATTATGGCCACAGAAGATAGGCAGCTATTCTCAGACAAACTGAATGAAATTAATGAAAAGATTGCTCCAAGCTTTGCAGTGGAATCGGTAAGGAATCTTTGTTCTGGAGAAACAAGGTCATTATTTTGTCTTATGTTATAGGGAGAGTGATTTGTCATGCATAAAAATAATAGTTAAATTATTATATTTGCATGTATTATCTTCCAGAAATGTGTTAGTACCTCAGAGACTTTGTGTATTAATTGCAGCATTCCATGCTGAAATGTTTGGGATAGGTATTAATATTTTATGAAAAGGGAACAAAAGCCCAGAGACAAAGCGGTTTATCAATGGATGAAGTGCCACTGAATATCAAATCTCCTGAATTAAAACAAAGAACCATGTCAACCTACAATGCCAAAGTGATTTTTACTTTCTGGGATCAGTTATGTATCTTGTGTGTGCAAATGACCTGCAAATGGGGAATGATGGGATTGAAATTTTCTTGTTAGAATGGAATAAACATCTAAAAATGAAATCACCTAGAAAAAGCCATTGGATCTAATCAGTGAGATTCATGACTGAGAAACTTGTGGCTTAGATGTTTAGGGAGGAAAGATTATTTCTCCTTTTTGTTAATCATTTTCAACTGTAGCCTGTGCCTATTGATAGGCTATTACAAGGCACCAAGTTAAAGTTGGCTTGCTATATATCTGTTTTTGTCCCTGACTTTATTCTTAATTTTAGACATGTAGTCAATGAAGTGGGGGTTCTGGAGGCAGTTTTTGATGCAGCTTTCCCATTGCAAAAGTAGGCAAATCCTTAGGGAAAAGGGCAAGTACTGCTGGGACAACTAAAATGGGCCATGTACGTTTCAGAAAAGAATGCTACCAAGTACATACTATGTTGCAGAGCTGTCAGTCAGGAATAGTCCCAGGATAGCTCTGCTGAACATTTGGAAAACTCCTGCCATACATTTATTCTTTCATTGCCAGATTTAATTATGTCCTTGCTTCTTCAGGATGAGAAACAAGCATATGGAAAAGGTGTAATTACATTCCCATTGGTAGTGTAATAATATTCCATGACAGAAAAATATAGCCACCATATGTTATATTCTGTGAGGTAAAAAAAAAAAAAAAAAAAAATCCAAGCTTCTGAGACTACTCTCTGACTGAACTTGAAAAATGAAAATCTCTTTCTATACAGTATTCCTAATGGCCTATTGCAGTAATATCAAGTTCATTTCAGCAGTAGAAAACCTTGTATCATTAAGAGATGAAGACTTTTAAACTGAATTTAAAAATTCAATATGGCTCCCGTTCTCAAATTCATAATGATTATTTCATTTTGGGCTGTTGTTTCATTTTTTTTATATGGCAGACTGAAATTTATAACAAAAGATAAGAGAAAGCCTTTACTGTGTATTAAAGAAATCCTACAATTTTACTTAAAATTTGTAAAACAGCACTTGTTTTTCAGAAGGAAATGAAGGAATAATACAGCATTTCTATAGTCATTCTCCCCAAAGAAACTGATTTACCTGATTTGCTATACTCTCTTGGTGTGGTCTTTTCTGTTAATGTAGTCAGCTTTTAAAACTTTGAGTCTTTCTTATTGATAGATCGAGGATGCTCTGAAAGCTGCAGACACCATTGGCTACCCAGTGATGATCCGTTCTGCCTATGCCCTGGGTGGGTTAGGCTCAGGCATCTGTCCCACTAAGGAGATCTTACTGGACCTCAGCACAAAGGTATGTATTTTCACAGACCAAATTCTTACCACCCAAGAAAACGGATTTGATATGCCCTTTCAGTTAGAGAAAGTTATGTAGATGAGAAATCACCTTTTCTCTATTATTAAACCACTGACATGTTTTCTAAAAGTGTTGTCCAAAAGACAGTACCTTTGGAAGGGAAGTGCAGTGCAGTTATTTACATTGGAACACAGCATTAACCTAGACGGGACTAGGAAAACTGATGGTCACTCTGACTAATGGTGATCATGCTAACTGATGATGGTCACTCCATCTTTATTGTACTATATGATTTCAGTGGTATAAACTCAATTCAGTTCCATCTCCCTCTGCTTCAAAATCTGCTCCCAAACACCCATCATGCTAAAATATATTTTAGTGATTAGAAAAATGAATATAATGTCCCATTTTCTATTATTTTTTTGAAATAATATGACATGGATGACATCTAAAGTGAAACAAAACACATTGAGTAGATTGGCTTTCCCTCAAATTCAGGTGTTTAAAATATATACAAGATAAACCTCTTGGTATCATAAATGAGTGAGCTCTCTGCCAACTGCCACACACTCATATAAGCCAAAGTGAGATCTGAGTGTTCAAACTCTATGTGCTATCAAAATCACTTTAACATATTACTGAATAGTTCTTTTCTTAAGTATTAAAAAGAAAATTAAGATATGTTCCAAAAAATAAATTAGACATTATCAAAGAAAACATTCTCCACGAAAGCAGAGAATTTTGCCCACGCTCTCTTCTCACCGAATAGAACAATGCCTGGTGAGGGAGGGTCCCAGTAATTGCTGGCTGAATGAACGAATGTGTGTAGAGCTGAGAGGCCCATGTCCCTTACATGGTGGTTGTGGACCTGAATCGGATAGGATTATTATAAGGGCTACTTTGGAGAGTGCTGAGTAAATACCAAGCACAGCTTCTATCTGTCATTACTTACTCTTTAGAGTGAAACAAAATGTGGCCCTTGAATTGTTGACATAGGATTTGAGAACAGATAAATAAAATTAAATATATTTAAACATCTATAATGACAAACTTACATGTCAAACTTGGATTTAGTGTTTCTAGAGTTGCCAAAACAAACCCCCCCAAAAAGGAAAATATATCAATATAAATATTTCTTGTTTCCATTATGGACTTATGAGTCATGTATTTAAAGAAAAGAAATGTTTATAGAGGTGATTTTTTTTTTCCCTCTGGTATATTAGTTGTTCCCAATATTTTTAATACTAGTATTCATGTATACTTGTTCTCTATTAAAAATATATATTTTTACAGTGTAAAAGTTCTGAATACTGAATTGTCTAAAAATGTTTACAATGAAAACAATTTTAAAATGGGATAGTTTTTAATTATTTAAATTCCTTAAAATAATCAATAAGGCATTGAATTTTTTTTGAAAACCTAGCTTTTCCCTTGAAGTAATTACTTTTATCATTAATTCCTAAACTACTCCTTATTCTCTTGAGATTATATTTAGCACCTTTAGAAGCTGCATTAACTCATCTAGGTCTCAAAGTTAGTCTTTTGTATAAAATCTGAGACTGGAAAGAAGGAAGTTGAGGCAGCAGGTGAATTTGATCTCAATTGTCCTTGTGTCAAAACATCCAGCCTAGTCTATTAGAATGCAGAGAGCTTTCCCCAATCCATACCCTTTGTTTCCCAGATTTCCTCTTTTAGCATGAAATCCTAATGACAAATGAATCATTATTAAATTGTTAATGCTGGCTACAGAGTTTTCTAACCACTTTGAAAACCTCATCATAGGCAGCTGTGGGGACAAATGTGTTACATTTTCAGTTGCACATGGAGGAGGCTGTAGTGTTCACTGAGGTTAAAAAGATAGTGTTCAGACACATTTAAAATACACACACACACACACACACACACACACCACCCAACTAACACTGAGTTATTTCATTATACTGCCTGCTAATAATTTGAAAAAATTCAAAGTTTTTTCCCCAATTGTTTTCTCTTCCTTTCTTGCTGCCATTGCAAATCAAAAATATTACAAGACAAAGGGAGACATTTCTGTCTTGGATTTTCAGCCACTAAATGTCCTAAAGTCAGAGACTGCCTCTTCCATATTTTGGGTTCAGTATTCTACCCACCGGTGGGTACTCAATAAATATGAAATGATAATTATATACTAATTCATATCTGTTTAATCAGGCATATATGATATATGACTCAGGGTATTTAAGCACTTAGGCGGTGATTAACCATAATAATAGTCGCATATCATTCTTCTAATTCCCAAGTTTCGTATGCCATCTTGGCTAACTGTTTACAACCATTATTATCCTTTCTTCTCCTCATCAACATCAACTGACTTTTATTATGTATGTCACTGTACAAAGCGCTCTCAGCTATTTTAGAGAAAACCAGAGTCTTTAGACTTATTTTTCCATATTTATTCACACTTATCACATTTTCTGGTTTTACAGAAGCCTTGCTGCTGAAATAATTCCATTTCCCTCTGCCTGATTGCTCAATTATTTTCTCTTTTTCCTAAATTAGTTTGATTTAATGTCATATCAGCACTTTGAATGGCAAGCCTCAATAATGTAAATCAAGCATATTCACTGCAGGATGCTATTCCTAGTACCTCACTGATTTTCTGACACATTGTGCCTTCTGGAACATAGAGGAGGATGGAGACTAGGCTTCAGACTTCGACGCTGACCAGGATTTAAGCCAGGGCATTTTGCCCAATATCCATGTTTAAACCAGTGCTTTTCCTTACTCTTTGATATCTTTTGTCACCCATTTCCAGGCCTTTGCTATGACCAACCAGATTCTGGTGGAGAGGTCAGTGACAGGTTGGAAAGAAATAGAATATGAAGTGGTCCGAGATGCTGATGACAATTGTGTCACTGTCTGTAACATGGAAAATGTCGATGCCATGGGTGTTCATACAGGTAGGCAAAGAATCTTCAGGAATTATAGTAATGCCTTCAGTTCATGCTTCTGATGGCCCATAGACATCTTTATTAAGTTCTTTTCTTTAAATTACTATTCTTAGCTGATAGACTAGCAATAAAATTTTACACAAAATAGTATTTCATGGTATTGAAAATAACCTCACATTCGTTTTGACTTCACAAAAACCCTGTGAAGTAAAACAGAGGGCTGACCCAGTTTGGGTGAAGAGGAAGTGATCGTTTATAGAAGGGAGAACTTAAGAGAGATTTTGAGGGCGCCTGGGTGGCTCAGTTGGTTGAGCGACTGCCTTCGGCTCAGGTCATGATCCTGGAGTCCCGGGATCAAGTCCCGCATCGGGCTCC